CAACCACTAACCCTCTTTTATTATGAGGACAAAATTGATGGGAATGGGGACAATTAGAAATAAATCAAAATATATGAAGACAAAATTATCTGTAAGAATTGCATACATATCAAGTGGAAAGTCATATTCTTATGGCTTGAATTCATGTCTGTAGTACTCTTTGTAAAGATTTAATTTAGTAAAAAGTTTGACTGCAAATATACATATTGAAGTTTTAAGTAAACAAGTTATTAACAAAGCCATAAGGCTAGGAAAGGCTTCTTTGGAAGGCACTGCAAATAATAAAGAGAACTGGTATGACACACTAATTTTCAAATTGGAGTAGATAAGAGATCATCAACAGTGGGGTTTGAAAAGTGGGGCAACTAATTGGATGTCAGAAGAATAAATAGCTTGGAATCCAAGAGAAAGAGTCTTTTAAAGAATCAAAATGATTATCAGTGTCCCATACTATTGCTGATCAGAAATTGAGAATTGACTATTAACTTTAGCAGAATAGATGTTACTGGTGACTTTTACAGAAACAGTTGGATGGGAGTCTTAGCAAAACAAAACCTGGTTGGAATTGGCTCAAGGAAGATTGTAAAGAAAGGACATTTCTGTAAATCTCCAAATTACCTAGTAGTGTAATGTGATCAAGATTGTGGAATACTTGTATACATTTGGGGCCAAATCTAATAAAATTTAATGATTTATTATTGTGAGATTGAACAATAATTATTTCATCCTCTGCATCTCTATGCTGGATCATGTTTCCCTTCAAAAAAAGAACAATACTGTTGCAACAAAAAATTACTAATTATTACCACATTCATAGCCTGAATCATAAATGAGAACTTTAAAAATATGACATTGTAAGTACAAGGGAGCGATTACCTAGTGGTGACATTTCAGACACAGATTGGAAAGAGATCTTACTTAGTATTGAAAGGTAATAACCACTGGGCAGTGAGGTCAAAAAAGAGCAAATGAGTACTTGTGAAAAGGCTGAAGAAGCTTTAATTTTCATCAACAAATTCAACGCAGTCTGATATTTGATTTTAAACTTTCAAAATTTAATTTAAAAATTGTGATGTGGTCAGCACTTTGCATATGAATTGTTTTCTTAAGAGTAGGGTCCTATTATATAATTTTATAAGAAATAAGTATGTGGAGATTAAAACTGATAATTGACTAATTTATGATGATATAGAAACTGCTATGTGGATAAGAATATTTGCATTAGAAATTAATAAATTGATCCAAAAACATTGATATAGTCAGCTATTTAACACCCCTAAACACACTTGCTGTTATATCCGTTAGAGCTCTTTTTCTTTTTTTTTTTCCCTCTCTTTTTTACAACAAAATTTACACATTTTGGATTTTATTACTCCTTAGTGCTTATTACTTTTTTTGGGGGGTGGAAAGAATAAAGTCAAATATGGCAAAACAAAGCTGTCAGTCAATACCAAGGATAGACATAGCACATGGTGTAGAACAGAGTACAAGTTTCTCAACAATGGCTATCAACATTGTCCCTTGTTTCCTTAAAAAGAATTGTCTATCTCATTAGATATTATAAAGTTGGACAAAACAGTAGAGAACAAGACCAATAAAACTTAGGCATTGTAAACATTACAGGACTTCCAAAGAAGACAATAGTCAAACCAGAATGGGTATCTTAGTGAATCTTATTGTCTTCAAAGATTTTTGGATCATTGAACACAGCTGTTTGCAGTCTCCCTGTTTGAATGTCCACCTTGTATTCTTTGATACTGTGATTCGAGGAACTATTTTCAAGATGATAATATGTAATCTACTAACAGGTGATTTCTTACTGTTATGTTTTTTTTTGTTTGTTTGTTTGTTTTGTTTGTTTTGTTTTGTTTTGTTTTTTTGTAGTTCTGTATTACGTGTACCCTTACACCACTTTGGTTTGTTTCGTGTTTTTCTCTTTTTCCTCTTAAATAAAAAAAAAGAAATTAATAAATTGTATATTTAAGTGCAGATTCCAGTTTTTCTGTGCCAAGGGTTTACTGAATTAAAATATTATACACAAATGAGTAAATCATCACTGTTCTTGATATCTCACTAACTAGACTAACACAGGCAAAGAGCACATGATAAACTTTAGAAAAAAGAGGAGGAGGGGTGGAAAAATAAGCAGAAAGGAGCATGCAGAAGACAAGGAGGTGACAGAAGAAAGAAATACAATTTCACACAGTTAAACATAAGGTAAGAGTCAGGACAGGAAAAGACCTACAGGAACAGTCTCATAAGTTTTGTAGGGCTGATGGTTTTTTTTCTCAAAAGTAATATGAACCCATTATTGTTGCCAGGTTTTACAAGTTAACTATTAGATTTTAATTTTGAAAGATTACTTTGGCAATTGTGCAGAGAATGGATTGGAGTAAAGGGTAACATGATGAGAGACAAGATCCCCAGCTATAAACTGGATGAGACTGGATGATACTAGAAGAAAGAAATGGTTAGTGAAATATTTCAGAGATGTAATCCCTATGATACAGTGAGTAATTTTCTGTAGAGGATGAAGAGAACAGAAAGTCAAAAAAGACACACCATTTTGAGGCAAGACACAAAATGAGATGGGGAGAATGAAAATGCATTTACTGATGTACTTTTAGAGTTTGAATTATTTTAGAACAGTCAAGAGAGTCAATTAAAATTTCAAAAAAAAGATACCTGAAAACAATAGTTGGTAGGACAAAGGGAAGAAGACTTGAGAATTTAGTATCACAAAAGTAAATGAAAAAGAATGTATTACTAAGAAATAAAATTCCCATATATGGATCAAGGAATTCTCCATTGGATTTGGGAGGGGGGAAGACATTTAAAATAAAAGATATTTAGTGACTAAGACAAATACATCTTAGTACCAACCTATGTGGCCAGACACAAAATGAATAGAAACAAAGTAGAACCTGCAGCAGCTCTTCCCATAAGATCGTGTCAGGGTCAAGAAATGTAAGACACTAGCATGTGGTGTCACGTGTGTACAAGTATTCTTTGCATGTCTGACTCATTAGTTTGCTAGTTTTTAAAATGGAGAGAATTACCAACATTTTATACAGATGGAAAAAGAAAAGGATGAAGATGCTACATTATCAAATGGTCCCTACAGGGTCCCTGAGGAATAGATTCCAGGACAATGATGAAGCAATCAACGTTAGATAATTTTCTAGGGCTTCCATAGTAAAATGTCACAAACTGGGCAGTTTATCAACAAAAACTTGGGTTATCATCTCACAGTTCTGGCAAGTAGGTGTCTAAGGTAGTTAAATCAAGGTGTCTGCAGGGTGGGTTCTTTCTGATGGCTTATGAGGGAACAATCTATTCCAGGGCTCTGTTTTTGATTTGCAGATGACCACATTCTGCATATGTCTCTTCCCATTGTTTTCTTTCTAAGAGTGTCAGTATCCAAGTTACCACCTCCACCTTTTTTTAAGGAGACAATCATATTGGATCAGGAGTTCACTCCACTCCACTAGGATGTCCTCCTAATTTAATATCTGAAATGATTCTGTTTCCAAATAAGATTACATTCTGTGGTGCTAGCACTTCAATATGCAAATTTGATGATGATTGTAAATCAATCTTTAACAAATGGGAAGCCAGACAATTCTTCCTTTGAAATGGGAAGGAACTATAAAAGGTGGTTGTGTGAGTCTATAGATTTTATGGCGGAAGTTTGGAAATTTTCACCTGCTTTTTATGTGCTCTGAAGTGGAAATAAAGCCATCAACAGAGAAGCAATTGGAGTTGAAAGTTTCAAAGAGAGGCTGGAAAATCCATTGCATAGAGTGAGCAAGAAGGCGAACCTGGGAGATGGTCAGGCAGCCGTGACAACTACCACCACTTCATCCTGTACTTAAGGGAAGTAATTAATTATACAGGGCACCCTTTAGAGGATAATTCAAAATCTCATGGAGAGGGCGACTTTGGTTACAGTAGCTGAGGCCTTAGTTGCTTTTCTCATTGCTGAGACAAAATATCCAACACCTGAGTTTAAAGGAGAAAAGGTTTCCTTTGGCTCACAGTTTGTGGAGGTTTCATACTGGTTTCGAGAAAGCGTGGTGTGGTGGAGCAGCCAAGAGGCAGCAGAAGATAAGCAGTAGCAGCAGGAAGTAGCAGCAAAAAGCAAAAGTGACAGCAGCTTCTGTCAGTCCCTTTATGTTCTATCCAGGCTCTAACCCTGTAGATTAGTACTACCCACACCCGGGATGGGTCACCCATAATCCCAGCATCACACACTTAATCTCCAAAAAGACCAATCTATGGCCTCATGAAACTTTGGGGACATCTAGATACAAGGCATAATGGCTTACAACAAACTTCATGCCAGTTTCACTAAGGCAAGTCTACTCTCAGATTCACCAGTCGGCCATTCATTTGGAGCACAAGTGGCAGTTTGTTCATGATCATCCCTATTTTTGTAACTAAAATTGTACAAACTGTTGTTTTTATTAAAGCACTTAATGTAAGATTTTCTCCCCTAGGCTGTGTTCTAGAGAGATCACTTTACACATCTTTTCTCCTCTAAATCACTCCTAACATTCCTGGATGCTGGAGAAAGCAGTTGGTCTCAGTGAACATTTGTGAAACCGAAAATTAATAGTAATGGATATTCAGCAAACCATCTCTGTTGGACTGAGAGTTATATTTTCCAGAAAGGCTTGTCCAAAGACACATCTTTTATAGAAAAGGGTGATGTAAGATTCATGCATAATTCTGTAAACATTTATGGTGAGCCCCAAGAGCAGGGCACAGTTGAATGTCTTGAAAAGAAAATAATCTTACATTCAATCTCATAAAAAATTAGTTTATCTTTCAGCAAAAATAATAGTAATGACCTAGGAAATGTTAATATATTTTTCTCTATTTAGGAATCCATAACAGGCATCTTTAAAAAAATCACACATACGTGGCAATGTTTTTATACAGCAGTGAACCAGAGTAGTAAATAAATATATTCAGAAATGTTATATTTTATTTTGCAGAGTGACTGCATACTTACTTTTTTCCTTTCTGAGCCTGTGCAACGAACAGTTGAAGAAACTTCACTTGTGGACATAGGCAAGTAATTTCATCATTATAACCATATGCAGTGATAGAGTTTCAATATAAGTGTCTAAAAATATCACAGATACAATGTTTTCAATTTCCAACTTAAAATCTTTTTAAGACTAAGGTCTAAGTCATCTTTTCTAATCATTTCCAAACCTTTTAAACCTCTGAGAATGTGTTCTTTGAGTTAAATTAAGCTCACATGGGTTTATCCAATGATAGCAATTATGTGATATCACTAAATTGATGCATTTTACTTAATTGAGTGTTGGGTTAAAATTATGTGTCAGAAATAGAGTCCCTGCCAGGAATGATGGTCTATGTCTTTAAACTCAGCACTTGAGATGCAAAATCAGGAGGATCTCAGTGAATCCAATGCTAGCCTAGGCTACATAGTGAATTCAAGGTCAGCCTGAACTACATAGTACGACCCTGTCTCAAAAAAAAAGTTAGAAGTTAAAAAAAATTTAAATTAAATTAAAAAATAAAAATAGAGTCCCTATTTCCCCCTGAAGTTAGGTATTACAGCTTACTATATATCTTAAAAAGAAATAAAAATAAATATTGTATTATAAATGATTATGACTTACCTAGAAATTTCATTCCTACCTTTTAGAGATCTATAATATTCTAATTCCTACACAGACACCAAATAACCTACACAATCATGTGCCTTATTCTTTTCCAAATGTATACTGGAAAAATTTCAGTTAACATTTATATCATCTCTCCTAGATTGACAAAGTTTTTTCACATGTTCTATCAATTTCAAGCATTTGTAGTATAACTCCATGGCAAAAAGAGCCTTTCAATGTCATCCTGACTTTTTACCTTAAAACTTTCAAATCCATAATTCTGCCAGATCTTTTAATTCTCAATCTTTATTTTATCTACATCTAATTTCAGATTCTCTATCTTTAAGATTAGACCCATACACTTATTACTCTGCTTATATCAACATCATAGCTACCCTTTAAGGTATATAGTTCTGTAACAATATTCCATCATCAGGATAATTATTTATTTATAAAGTTATAGAACTATGATTGCATTTTCTTGCTTCTCCTCTTAAATCAAGGACTCACTTCCCCAATGTGTGTTCATATATTCTTACAAACCCTAAGTGAATGCTTGAAAACTGGGCCTTCTCCATTGCTACGCACTTTATTCAATAGTTGATATCATCCTCCAAAATATTTTGCCTTACAGATAGAAAAATTAGGCAAGGAAAAAAAAACATAGACACAATATTAGGTAAATAACACAACTACCTACATCTTATAGCACTTACCAGAGGAAAAATGATGTCTGTAATTTAAAATATTTCTATTCTTGTTGTCATAATTCACAAATGCCTAATGGATACTTTCTAAAAACAACTAGGTGGAGGGATTTTCATGATAAATATTATAGCCAAGCATAATACAGATTTTGAAAAAATGAGATGGCAAAATGCTAGAGACATCACACACAAAAAAGATAACAGTCTTACCTCTGTGACAACATTAAAGTCTCTTGATGATATCGTTTTCCCAGGTTTCAACAAATTAGAGACTAGGTAACTATCAGGTTTTATATTATGCTATGGAATCATTTCTCTGAAAGTCACTTTGTAATGAATCTGCACACAAAAGAATTTGGTTTATTTTTGTAAAAACTAAAATGGTTGCTTGAGAATATTTTCTTTTTAAAATATTTTTATGTCATCAACATTCAAGATTTGTTTCAGCAGGTATGAATGACAAAAAATTTGATTCTCAACATTTTTAAATTATAGGCTGCATATTAAATGCAACCTATTGTGTCAAAACAATAGAACGCAGCTGAGAAAAATATGCAAATCACTGTAGTACACAAGGATTAGCAGGAAGTTGCACTTTCTTGTGTTCTTCAAATTATTTCATCCTTCATACATCTAAATACTTAATCTTGTATCGTAGGATATCAGCAGACTCTAGGCCAACAACAAAGCATTTATTTTAAGCACGATTCTTATCACTGAATTGAAAATACAAGCTCATATTTTTAAATGATTGAAAGGAAAATATCCAAGAGCATTAAAATATTGATGTACATAAAACCATCTTAAGTGAAAATCCCAGATTTTACCTTTGACTTCCTCTACTAATTAATGAAAGGCGGGGGAGGTAATAATGGGGAAGCATGTGAGTAAATATATTTTATATGTATAATGAACATTCAAGAATGTGAAATTAGGGTACAGACAGGGCAAAGGGAAAACAGCAGGGATTAAAATGATCAAAGTGTTTTATGTGCGTGTACAGATCTGCTGAAATGAGAACTATTCATCGTATAACAAGAGTTTTCAGAGACTTATATCTGGATTCTTATGTATCTGGGCACATGACCTTTAAAAATCGTATTAATGACATGCATGTAAACATCGATCTAAGAGATATGAATGATCTTTCTCCTTTACCCACTAACTAAACATGCCATGGTAGAATAACAGGATACTTCTTTTTCAATTGTCAGTCATTTCTTCTCTACTAAAATCTTTTTTTCTCGGCCTCCTACTTGCCTGTTTCTGGACCAAACTCATCTACAACACAGTTAGACAAGGCAGGGTCCTGCACTTGTGTGACGTTTTCCTGCTGTTGTCTTGAAATTCATGTTAAGTTTTGAAAAACAGATGCCATATTTTTATTTAGCAGTGGAAACTATGTAACTGGCCCCAGCAGTAGGATGGAGACCTAAATCCTCTACATTCCACAACTTCTCCTTTCCAGATCATCATCAAGCTTTTCCTCATGTACATTTCTATTTCCAGATCCTCAGTTACAACCTCTTCAGTATCTCAGAGATATGATTCTTTCTGTTCAGATTTTGTGACTTCTACCCACTGCATCCTTCAAATTTCAACTCAGATGCTCTAATAATGTTGTTTCTTTGAAGCAGTTGTGTGTGTGTTCTGGTATGTGTACTTATTTGTAGACTAGAAATCCTTGAGTGGATAATCCGTATCTGTATGGCAACGCTACTGCATTCCCACAGTCTAACACACTGTCTGGCTCACTCTGGAAGCTCAGAAAATCACTGAATAAATGATTGATGTTAGAAAGAACCACCATGGAAACACATTCATATTCTTTATCAAAGTAGCATGCCATTTTTATAAACAGGATAAGTAAGAAAAATCCACACTTATTACTTATATGGAAAAGCCTTGACACAAAAAAGCCAGGGCTTCCTAAACACTAGAATTATTTTGAAGTATAAAGTAAGGGAACTATTGTGCAAATTATGTATTGAATATTATGTGTACCAGACCCAGTGAAAACTCTAACAAGAAAGTCAAATTTTATCTTTAGAGTTTTTAACTAATGACATGATACTGTATAGTGTGCTACTGTAATAAAACACATGACATAATCAACTTAAAAATAGGCTCACAATTACAGATGCTCTAGTCCATGGTCAACTGGTCATGTTGCCTCTGGGCCTGTGGGGAGGAAGTACATTATGGTAGGACAAAGTTGCTCACTTCCCGGAGGCAGAGAAACAAAAAGAAGAGGAAAAAAAATCTGGATTCTAGGACATTTCTCCAGTGATTTAACTCCTTTCCTTTGGCCTCACCTCCTACAGGTTCCACTACCTTCCATTAGTGTCTTGGGTTAAGGACCAAGTCTTCAACATATGCACCTTTGAGGGACACATCCACAGCGTAACACCCTCCATGCCAAAAATGCTTTCACCCACACACACAACAATAAAATAATCCATTCACTGATACAACAGAAGAAAGATTTTTGTCAAGGTACAGAAATAATAACATAAGTAATGGAGTAGAACAGGACAAAGAAAACAATTTTCAGGGTTAAGAGTATGAGATAATGACTGTGTTTAGACAACGTTGATAACTACAGAAAATTGAAAATGCAAGCTTTCCATCATTCCTCACATCACTACCTGCATTTAAAGATGCTAACTTAAAAGACAATTTGGAAGCATGCAGTCCCCTGGCATGGTCTGACTGGTTAATGGTCTAGCTACTTGCTCTCCCAGAAGCCAAATCAATTATCTCTAGGTTGCATTGTGGAACTCATATGTTCAACTTAAACTTTTCATGTTATTTGATAGGAGTAATTCTTTGGCACAGTAGGATGAATACAATTAACAATAATGCACTATATATCTCAAAATAGTAAGAAGGAAAGCATTTGAAAGTACTCAACATAGAAATTGCAAAAGTTCAAGATGGTGAATATGCCAGTTGATCACTGAGTTGATCACTACCCAATGGATACATGAACCAAACCATTTGGCACCTCATAAATACATGCAAATATTTTGTGTTAAGCAAAAATATATAATATAAATTTTTAATGATATAGAAGGATAAAAAATGAAAAATAGGACTATTTAGTTATAAATAGTAAATTGTTTTAGAAACATTCAGTTGAAAGTTTTATAGTAGTTGTCATTTTGCTATATCTTATAACCTCATGTTTTCTTCAGAAAATATTTTAAACTTTTATTTGCGCCCTACCATGGAAGGAAAAGATGGAAAACAGATTAGCTAAAGAGTTTTGTTTTAATTAATTCATCTCTAATAGCTGGTCGTTGAAGGATATTGCAAAAATTACATTCTAGGAATATTATAACAGGAAATGCATAAGGCCAAATGAAGGAAACTTTAAAACACTATTAAGGAATTTGTAAGGTGCCTTGAACAAATGGGAAAACATATCATGTTCTTGGAGAAGGAAACTCAATATCTTAAAGATTAATTTTGAAATGTAATGTAATTCTTTAAAAATATTTGCAAATTGACTTTTAATTAGGTGACCAAATTCTGTAGTTCATAAACAAAGCAAAGCCAGGGATACTTATGAAAAGCAGACCAATGAGAGCAAATGAGCACTACACATTAAAAACTCTTCATAATTAAACCAGTATAACTATGGAGCATAAATGGAACAGAACAGAATGGCTATAAATACAGCCAAGTAGATTTAGGAATTTAATATGTGGACAAAACAGGGAAAATTCAATAAATGATGTTAGAATAATATATTTCACACCACATGCCAGGATAAACTGCAGGTATGGAAAAGATTTTAAAATTAAGTAATAAAACTATGACAAAGATACCATGGAGAAAAATCCTTTATAATTTGAAATGTACATCTACAATTTTCACTGCAAATCTAAAATCTCCGCATGACATTAAACACTATACCAAAATAAACTAAGATAAATGACAAAAGGGGTGAAATATTTGCAACTCATCATAGTCAAAAACTTGATTTGTAGCATATAACCATCTTCTAGGAAATGGTAAACAAAAGACTAAAGTAGCCAAATGGAATATTAGTAAAGACTATAAAAGATAATCTGTGCTTGCAAAAAACAAGTGGCTCTTAATCAAATAAAAAGATACTCAACCTCACTCATAAGAGAAATGCAAATTAAATTACAGTGATACAACTACCATTTTTTTCCTCATCAGATTGGCAAACACCCAAAAATTTAATTAACAGCCTGGTTATAAATCAGCAGACACGCTTATACACTGCTAGTGATAAAGCAAATTAGTATAACCACCATGTAAGGCAATTTGGAAACATTCATCAAAATTACAAACACATGCTTTGACCAACAATTCTGCTGTTATAATTTTATCCCAAATATCTGTGCATTGATGCACATCCCCCCAGGTATGTGACTACCTGTTACATATGATTTGAAATAGTTACAAAATACTGGAAACAACTCACCTGCCCATCATTGGAGAATTAGTTAATTCATGCTACTTCCTCCTAATGGAGACTGTATTTAAACATTTTTTAAAAATCTATTTATTGATATAAAAGTTTCTCCAAGAGCTTTGTGTAAGATGGCAAACATTCTATCCCCTTGGTAAGAAAGTAGGAAACAGAATTAATTATTCAGAGATGTTTAGCTGGAGCAAATCCACAAGGACATACATCTCTCTGACAGATATATGGGAAACTTAAAAAATAATGGTGAGGGAAGACAGGATAGATGTTAGAAATGAGAGGAAGACATTTTACTCTCTACTTTTAAATAACTTTGTTTTTTAATTATATACACATGCTAACAAAATTAAATTGTGAAACATTATTTCTCAATGTGAGGGAACTTATTCATAATAAATTATGCATTAGTTGCTGCAGTGTTGTACACTGATGCATCTCAGCAGAATCATTTTTAGATCAATAATATTTAACAGTTTTGGAGATTATTGTAAAGGATTGGTCAAATCCCCTAGGCAAACTTGAAGCAGAAGTTCAAAACATTCCAACAATTTTTGTCCATATCAAGTTGTTCTCAAATTGGCCTTTATGGGATCTTTCTTTAAACTATTTCCCTTATGTTATGGCCCTCTTTTTGCCCTTTTACAGCATCATGTTCAGATGTAACTGGCAGTCATTTAATTCTGCACGATTCATTGTCTCAGACCAAGTGCTTTCATTATCCTTGTGTGTAAATGGAGATGACACAAAACTCATAGATTCATGGTGAAAATTTAGTGAATTACTCCACATAAAGTACTTAGCTGGGCACATGGTACAAGTTACAAAAATATTAGTCTAGTACTGGTACATCAACTAGTAAGACTCCATAGTGTCTGAATTGTCAATAAAGCTAAGGTTGAACGTGTGCATGTTTTGATGAAAACTGGTTACTAATCTTGCAGAAGAGGTTTAGTGTATAATATCATTTTCAGTTTGTTCAAGTACATTTAAGCACTTAGTCTTAAATTTATGCTATTTTCCTACCTACAAATTAAAACTCCTGTGATAAAATACATTGAGTTTCTATTTAATAATTCTTTCACTCTTTAATTCAAATATAATATTCATTGTGCATCAAAAAAGTCACCAATATTTCTACTTGTCTTCAGATCAAAAGTTCAACATTTTTATTACAAAATGTAATTTGTCTTAGTACTATATTCAAAATTAATTTATGTCTCTTGTTTGTTGTAATAAAGATATTTAAGTGATTTTACTATAGTTACATAATAAGCTTCTCAACTGTAACAAATACTTCTTTCCATATCAATAACCCACACTAGCAATAAAAGTAATTAGCATTACCTGCAGATGATGCGTAAGCAATTATAACAAACATGTAAGAGGATTTAGAGGAGAAAACATACTGTTCACATGTGATTTTCAAATTATTAAAGCAGATTAGACTGTTGAAATTGACTATCACAAAGCAATATGGACCACAATAGTACTATAACTAAATAGTAGCAGCTTTTTTGTCAGTAAATTTTTTTCTCTAAATACCCTCTGAGAATATACAACCAGAGAATATCAAGCCAAATATTATAAAAGCTGTATAAATTGTGCTTATTCCCTGGGCTATACACCAGAAATTTTTAATTAGAAATCTAAAGTCTTCATTTTAGAGATTTAACTCAAAGAAAAATTGGGATTACTTTCATTATTAAGCTAATGTTCACTGTTTACATTATGGAACAAACATAGGCATACGTCCCTTGAGAATATAGGGAAATAAACTCTGAGATACATCGTAATCCACCTCTAAATAAACTGATATGTGTAAAATAATTACAATGCAAATATTAAGTAATAAGGGCTATGCTAGGAGAATTCAAGGGAAAATGATCACAGAAACTGTTTTGCATTTAAATTAGGCCTTGAAATAAAGTAACAGTGTAATAGCCAAAAATTGGTGGACAAGATCATTTTAAATGAAGGGATAATATAAGCAACAACTAAAGGTAGAGGAATTTGTAAGGCTAACTTATGGAGTACAGGATAGGTTAATAATGGAGAATAAAACAGTAATAAGAAGCAACAATACAAAACTCAAACTTTTACAAGCAATGCAAAGCTCTAAAATGCACTGTGCTCAAGAACAAATTTATAAAAGTTGCTTCAGGCAACTTACATTAGTAGTTGAGTATAAATAGATTTGGGCTATAGGGGAATGTTCTGATATTTCTGAGAAAAAGCTGTTTTTTACTTTTAGGATAAGAAATGAAGAGATCAGTACAACTATTTAAAGAATACTAATAATTACAAACATTGGTGAGCATTTACTATGTGACAGCTTTTGAATTTTATTAATTAATCTTAATTATCCAGAAGCAGCTATTATTTCCATTCTACAGAAAAGTAACTAACTTAGCTCTAATGACACGGCAGAAGCAGAGCTACAGGGAGTTGAATTCAAATTTAGTAACTTCTGAACCCCACACTTTTAATCTACGTGATCTCTCATACTGTAAACTTATATACTGAATATTAAGGAGAAATGGAAGCCAAAAGGGCACTGAGATTTAAAGTGCAAATAATTGCAAAAAAGTAGTGGTTGCCCATCAAAATTAAACACAGAATGGTAAGAAGAAGAGAGCTCACAAAGATTAGTCAGAAATCTTACTTCTATCCAGCAACAATCCAGCCACCTAAAGAGTATCGCAATTTCAACATAAGAAGATATTTCTTTTACATATTATTCATTGGCTTTATTTTAATTTCTAAATATGCAGTGCATGTTTAAACTACTTCAGTGTTAATTTACTGAAATTCTTTTTTTTTTTTAATCAGGTGAAAAGTCTCCAGACAAGACTCCTAAAGTGCAGTTAGTAATATCATATGAGGATGCAAAGCTGACCATACTGGTGAAACACATGAAGAACATTGTAAGTCTATTATATATAATAAGAAGCATCTAATCTTATATTTAGAAATTACTTGGCTCCTTTGGGCAATTAGTGTCAGCAGTAGTAAGAGAAATGTATCTAGGCACCAAGCTTCAGTGAGGAACAATGAGCCAATTACAATGTTTTTGTCTCAGTGTGATGGCAATCCTTAGGGTAAAGACTATGAAATACTTCACAGTGCAAGTCCTAGAATGAAAATTGGACTTTATTCAAATGAACTGTCAGAAAAAACAAGCAAATGATCTCTGAGAAACCAGGAACTAAGAGCTAAACAAAAAAAGCCTGGATCCAGCTTACCGTATTGAGGGTGGTGGACGGCTGACTGTCTCTTGGACAGCAGCTTTTCTGTGAAACCAACAGGTCTTAAGGTTTCCCCCAAATTCTTATCATATCTTGAGTTTATGGCATCGTCTTAGTTAATACATTTTGATGTAATTGCTTATGTGCATTTCTTTCTCCCTAAGATGTGTTACATTTTTGGAGATTAGGAGCCCCATCTTTGCATTCCCAGGACCTAGAACCAAATCTACAGTTAGTCTATACGGGTAACTAAAAGCACCATGCTCTAACCCACTCCCACTTGACCATGGTTCAAGTCACAGCAAGGACAGTAGCTGACAATTTCCATTCTGAAAGACAGGGAGCCTTCTGTGTCACAGGGTAAATGAAAATCTGAGCTGGAAGCAGTGAAGGATAGCTCTAAAATTTACCAACTCTTCTAGTTTTCCTGGACTCCAATCAAAGCCAGGCTTACACACAGTAGGAGGCCCCATGAGGTGTGGAGAAGCAGTATCACAATATTGGCTGTCTTGTTTATGCATATAAATCTCTCAGGATATGTTTTGAAGGAACAAGCTCATCTCCACATGACATGCATCCAGTACACACTAAAACTAAATAAATATTTGTTCAATAAACAAATAATTGGCATAATTTTCAGAGGCTACATCCATTATATACTTAGACTTACACATCCAAGGATGTTTGCAGGTAAATCTATGGTGTTCATAGACAGTAACTTTTGTAATATCTGTGTATATATTTTTAGAATGTTTATAAGTATTCATTAAAATCATTTCCATTGTTTTTGATAAAACAAGTCATCTTAAATGAAAATAACAGTTGTTTAAGAAACTTTTTAATTGGGGGGTGAAAACTCAATCAGTTATTATTTATAACTATATATTCTCTCACAGACTTCAAACATCTGTTGTACCAGTGATGGTGAACCTTCAGAGCTTGCAGTGATACAAACAGCCCCCTGCAGCACATGTGCCATAGATCACCACCATGATCTATAAAACACATGATTAATTAAAATATTAAGAAATGTTATTAAATGATTTATATATAATATTTGATAGTCTTAAAAATAGTCCCCTTAGAAATTACATATTTGTTTCAATAATGTCATTACCCAGAACATTTTAGAGGAAATCTATTGAAACTGCATATAACAAACACATTAAACCTGGTGCTATTTGATAGTCACACTGAATTCTTGATCAAAAGCAATATTAACCAATTTGGTCACCCATTTCATTCACCAAATGAATTCTCAAATTACTTTTGACAGTTTTCAAAAAAACATCATAAACCTAGATGAAGTTGTACTACCAATAAGCATATTCAAACTGAATGTAACCCAGGCTTGATGGAAGTGAATGAGAAAGAGGAGAAAGAGATGAAATTTAATATTGATGTAAAGCAATTACAGGTAAATGGCAAAGAATTAGGTGAATCCTAGAGGAAAAAGTTTTAAAAATCTAAAAGCATCATCAGTGGAGTCCATAGATTGCCAAAACCTTCTGAAAAGTTTTAATAATGTCATAGTCCTTCTTTCTGTCTGACTTCTCAGTGTATTTAGGGTCTGCTTCCTCTTTTTACCCCAGTCATTCGACTGAGAGATTGAGAGATTGAAATCAGATTTAGACTTTCCTCTTTAACTTTAGATTCATGACTTTGAATATCACTTACGCATCACTTTATCTACAACTCCATTTCAGAATTGTCCCCTAAAATCCAGAGTGGTGTATACCACTGATTACAACTCCAGTAGAAATTTACTAAGTCTCTCAAAGTTAGCAATGCACCAGATCAAACTTCTGACGCCTGCTTCTTTAAACTTCTATCTTTTTTCCATCTTTCTCATCTCAGTAAATAACACTTCCTGTCTTCTAATTACTAGGCTAAAACCTTTAGAATCATTTTGACTCTACTCCTTCTACTTGAAACTGCATCCATTTCCTCCACAAATTCCATCAGTCTGCTTTCAAACTAAAGCCAGAATCCTACCACTGCTTCTCACCATACAACCAGTATTGGTTCAAGCCACCATCATGCTTTACCTGACTTGCCGTTGATTCTGCCATAATTTCTTTATAATCTCTTCCTAACCTAACCATCAGAATGTTCCTTTGAAAACAAAAGCCCAGTTTGTCATTGCTTTCTTCACAGCCTTTGGGGAAAGAGTCATATCTGACTTACAAGGAAAGCCATAACAGAGACCTCTGAGACCCTACCAATCTGGTTCCCTTGAGCTCGGCAACTTCATGTCCTACCTCAGATTCCCTCAATCACTCCGCTCCCAGCTCACTGACTTCCTTACAGCTCCTTGAATTTGGCAGGCATGTTGCTCCCCTAGGGTCCTTGTGTCTGTTAGTTCATCTGTCTTGAATATTTTTTCCTAGGCTCATGACTTAATATTTTCCATGACTCACTGTCACACATCTTGAATGACTATATTTACTGTCATCTTTACAGTGAATCTTTTCTGAAAGTTTAGTAAAACTGCAAGAGAACCCATTTTGTTGTCTCTTCAAATCTATTTATTTTCTCCCTTGTCCCATGTCACTACTAAAACCCGAATGTCTAGAGTAAGTCCAAGTGTATTCTATGTATTCGATGACTATTTGTTAAATAAAAGAATGGCAGGTCACTGCCCATATGAACAACAAAGGATTAGGATTTTTCACCCTTTCTAAAAATCATCACAACAAATTAAGTTTTTCATTGCTTCTTTTAAATAACTATTTTATTTCTTCTGCTTATTTGAAAACAGCAACAGAATTTTAATCTAAATGGCATAAAATCCATCCATAAATTCTTAATATATTTTCTTTGCTCATTTCAAGTTTTTAGCTAATTGTTACTTATATTTTGAAACTTCAACAGGCTTATATGCCAAAATAATCAGGCTAAATAATTTGTGCTTGATTTCATACTAATTTTAAAATGAATTTTGCCTGCAGTTCTGTTATATATATTATGTTATATTGAATGTTAAGTTTGATGAAAAGAATTATATCAAATCTTTGAAGCTGTGCTCTGAGAATTGCTTCCCTCCTGTGAAATCACAAATAAACCAAAATTTCTACAATTTGTTCCCTTTCAAAGTAGTGCAGTACGGTTTACTCTGGTGGATAGAGACTGGCAAAATACTGCAATTATTTAGAAAGTTGGCCAATGTTTTTAAAATAATAGTTCAGTTTGTTTCAAATATTAGATCTGAAATATTTTGTTAAAAGCGTTCTAGCATTTTTCTCTGTACCCCGCTTTCAGATGCTCTGTCCTGGGGATTTCTACAGTGTTTTTCTATGCATTTACTCTTGACTTGAGTGTCTGTTTCCCACTCTGTGTCATTTCTAAATTATGTCCTTCTCTCTATAGATTATAAATATTTCAGAGATGCTAAAGGCAATAAATGGACTGACACTCTCTTCTCATACCTACTACCTACACTAGGGCAGTCATTTATGCTGTAACAGAATGATTATTTAAGATGAGGAGCAAGTAATATTGATGAAAAGTAAAATACCTCAAATATAATATCACTTAGAATATAAGACACAAAGTAGAAGAAATAGTTGCATGTGAAGATTAAGAGTAGATAGAGTAAAATACAAGAAGCACACCAAACTACACACACACACACACACACACACACACACACACACACACACACATTTATGACAGTTCATTTTTATTTTAGGAATTTCTTAGGGTCTGGGAGTATAGCTCAGTGATAGAGCACTTGCTTAGCATGCATGAGACTTTGAGTGTTGTCCCCAGCACTGATAAAAATAAAAATTAAAAAACTCCAGAATTTCAATGTCACTATAGACCAGGAGGTATTTTTTAAGAACAAGTTCCTGGGGCAACTCACAGTAATTTTGATTCCTTAACCATTGGTTGGAATATCTTTATCAGTGTTGTACAACCATCACACTATTTGCTTTCATTTCTGGACTTCTTTTCCTCTTTCTTGTTATAAAATTTGAACAGTCATGAAGCTGGTGTGTTCCAAGACCACACTTTGAGAAACATTTTTTGAGGCACTGGCACCCCATAAATGGTGCCACATATACAATGTGAGTTCTGGCATTGGCACTGGGAGAATTGTAATGCTTGTTAAAGCAGAACAAAGACAACAAATAGGATTTTAAAATAAAGCACAGATATTGGCACTGTTTGCTACATATAAGTAACAGTGTCCTGGGGTATAAATCCTCTGATTATATCACTACCTTTCAATTTTTTAATATCTAGACTCTTGAAGGAAACTTGTTACTGTTTCATCTTGGATATGTTTCAATCTAAATAAAACCAACTTCTTAATGAAGGAGAATGTCCTTATACCAATCTTCAATTATATTTGACATGTACTCCATGGATTAAAGATTGCTCTTGTAGCGCTGGCTCTTAATGATACTGATCTCCAATTTCAAAGGATAACACAAAGGCATGGACAGGAAAGGGTACCCAGCCTAAATCCAAATACCAAACGGTTTCAGGATGTCTTTAAAGGAAAAAGTTGATCACCAATTCTTTAAAAACCAGTTATCACTGATCTCTTTTTAAAAGGCAATAACTTTAAATGTCTCCTTTCTTGAACTTTTCTTTTCCAAAGATGTTAATGAAACTTCACTATCTTTATGTTCTTTCAATTTCACTGACAGCCTTCTTTCTGAGGCTTCCTT